GAGTCAAAAAACGTGTCTCCAGAATTCCGCTCCTACCGTCTCATATCAAATACGTTACACAATTGAGGTAAAATTCATTATGCTATGTACAATTTCGTTACAAAAATTAGCTTCCATTCCCTTCCGTAACACTGTACATTGAGCTTTAGTAGAAGCATGGACCAATAAAACAATAAGACTGCTAATCGCGACACGACGCGCAGTTGGGTATTTAGTTCCTCTTTGTATACCAGATGTCGCGAGGAGTACCAAATAGATATTTTTGTAACTAATTTGTTTTACATTGACAAGATGCAATACATTAAAGCTACTCCTAGTACTAGATGGCGCTTATTGCACAGATTTTAATGGGCAGTGCCGGTGTTCCTTTATTTCGTTTAGAATTAGCGCCATCCACCCATTATTAGAAATTGTAAAACACAATGGCATCTATTAACCTTTGTTGCCCGTGGTACTACCAGCTGAACTATTAGTAATTACACGAGCAATAATAATCTCCCATGTTACTACCGACAGGCCTAGTAGTATCACAATTATTACAATTATCACAAAGTAGTATTTGTCCGTAGTACTACCACTAGTAATACGGGCAATAATAGGTACTTTCCCGTGTTACTACTACCAAGATAAAAAGCGTTTTATTAATTTCATAAAACAAACGAACCAAAAGCCAAACAATACAATAAAAATGCATTTTAACTAGCAAATACAAATCAACCTTTATTCTTATTCAACCTTATAACTAAGTCCAAACTTATGGTACCACGATTTCGTTTAACTAAGGTAAACGAAGGGGCACTGTATACATTTTTACAATAGTATTCTGGAGTATATATTAAGATTATCATTTCTTAAGTTTAAAACTCATATTGCAAAATTGAAGACTACGTGTTAGATAAAGATGTATGGAAAGAAGACATGGCTCTAAATTCCACACAAATTCAATTCAAAGTGTATTCCAAAAACAGATACGTATTCAGAAATTTATTTAGCTCATGATCAATGATCAGTATTTGAAAATGGAAAAAACGGACTCCTTATATTTCATAGTAAAGAGGAATTAATTTTAAACCCACGGCCATTTACGTAACATAAACTACTTCCAGGCTATCAAACCTATCTGGACCATAAGAATTATGACCTTTTCAGATGATCTGTTTGGAGATTAGCAGTCTTCTTTATTTATTGGTAGTGTTGAATTATTAATGACATAAAGATAGTTTAAATTTAAATTAGAAAGAGTACAAAGACCATTGTAATGTAACAATATATTTCATTATACAATGGTCAAACGCACAAAGACCAAAGTATAAGGATCTATCAGCAGAAAGTTATCGGCAAGTTTGAAAAATTCGTTGTTCAATTCATCGTACCCTTACTCCAATGGCGCGGGGTGTAAGATACGTGTTCTGTGTCAGGGGTCAGTGTGCGCTCGCTTATCTCAACTCTGACACTCCGATTTCTCAAATATTGTATTGGGTTTGGTACTTGTTTCATCTTTGATTTTAGAGAAAATATGGACGTAACATTTCTAAGGCTTAAATATTTTTAGCAGCAGTTTTTGCCAATTACCTACTTGATGTTGATACATAACAAATATGAATAAGAAACTTTTCCTGTTTACTTCTAAGAGATTGAATATTTAAAATTAATTAGAAAGTCGTTAAACAAAATTTCAGAATAAAAATGAACATTTTGGCAAAAAAATATATTCACAAAAAATAATTGAATATCAATTCAATAAAAATTTAATTAATACAGTGAATAGCGACATCTCTCGCCAGGACTGGTAGCTGTAAAGGTACTAACTGGGTGATAAATCTGTAATAGATTTCTCATAGATGGCGCTACGACTAAAAAGTCGTTGAAAGACCAAGTACAAAGACACGACGCAAGCACATAGAAAAATTCGTGAGGTCTGTTGGTTCGTTCCGTGGCTTAGTTTGGTATAGCGTCTGACACGGTATGCAAGAAGACGTCGGTTCGAATCCGACCGGATCGAAGAAATTTTTTCTGAGTGTATTTTTTGAGTGTTCGATCTTTGTATTAATAATTATAAAAAAATATAGCTTTAGAAAAATTACATTTCAAGTATGTTTAATGCTATTGAAACGAATGTAATTAGAGAGCGTTTTGAAAGTTCATAATATATTGATTAAGATATAAATGTATGGTCATATGGAAAGGATATTTTAGTAGCAGGGGCGCTCTTTGTGAAAGACTTCTGAAGTTCTGTCAAAACACCAATTTCTGCCATCAAGCAGCAATGTGAGCATTACTGCGTTGCGGGTTTGAAGGGAAGGATGCTGGTGAAGCTATTATCACACGGGACCTGTTACCTTATGTTTTAGGGTGTCGGGTGCAGTGACAGTACATTGTAGATCTCATCGTCGTATAAAAAATGATTAACAACCTTATATTTAAAATACCAAATAACTTTTTCGTAGCATAACTTTTTCATTGAACAAAAACCGACTTCAAAAGTTTACTTATCGGCTTTCTTCGATTTCCATGGGATCCCCTCATCACAATGGTGACAATGGGACTGTTACGGACTTCTTTGTACATTTTGCATTTTCTTTTCTGGTTGTCATTGTGATTTGTTAATTACATGTATTGTGTCAAGTGAAAAGTCAACTTCTATTTGCGGAAAATAATTAATAATTTGTGGCATCCGAAACTCGGAACAGTATCAAAGACCACCTCGAGAGTATATATATCCTTTCAAACAAAACAATATTTTTTTAAATCGGTGCACAATTGACGGAGATATCTGAAAACGTAAATACAGCCGAATGTACAACCTCTTCCTTTTTTTGATATTGGTAAAAAATAAGGTAGCTAAATAAACAGCACTTATAAAAAAGTACCTATATTAAAACATTTTCGACAAAAAAAAAGTCTTCTTCTTTAGCTCTTAATCACGTACTTCTGAGCCACTTCTCTTCATTTGCACGCTATTCTCTGCAGTCTTGGGATATTTGAATCCAGGTTTTTCTTGTTACTTTAACTATATCGTTAGTCCATCTAGCCTTCAGGCGGCCGATGGTATCGGTTCTCGGTCTCCATGTCAACATTGTTCTGTTCCACCGGTCACTGTTTCTACGGCTTACGAGGCCCGCCGGTAGAATAATTCCAAAGAACTGGGTCTAAAAAGTTACTCAGTCAAGTACCTTAACAGCTATCAGCGACTGATTAAAGATTTCGCTGTAATAATTGTAATTTTTGAAGTCAATGCAGTTATTGTCTAAAAATATACCTAATACGTATTTATGAACTAGTCTAATGAATATCTTATAAAGACATCAAATACTTTTACGCGAAACAAATGGTATTGCATCTGACTCCATTATAACTTAATGTATTCTCTTTTGGACTTAAAACAACAAAGGTTAATGTTTCTAGCTCATTCCTCTCAGGGGAATCTGACTTCTGAATAGGAATAACAGCATAAAACAAGATTGTTTCTAGTGTTATTTTCTTGACAATCTTTCGTAATCATCTCTATATAAGAAATTCTGAACCGAATGCTGTTTACAGCATTTAAAGCGTTTAAAGTTTAATATTTTATAATTTTTATTGCGTACAAACTTGCACCTAGTTTTCAAACTTTGATGTCCTGTACTATATACTGTACTATGTACTAGGTACCTAGGTTTTCCGTTTTGACAAAATCTGTAGCCTAACTAAGATCGACTCCCGGTAGAAACAATTTAAAATTATTTATTCTGAATTGGATTTTGCATGCGAGTTCCGACGAAAATGTGTTCGAGCGAATACATCCGAAATCCTCATCGAAACAAGACGGTTACACTGCGCGTGTTTTCTGATGGACGGAGACGGGACGAACTAGTCGTGTATATGGTGTAATGCGACACACCTGTCTATGACATTTGTAGTGCCTCTAAGAACTTTAAATCGCAAAGATTTAAGGGGCACTGCCACTGTGTCTTTACCCAGAGACATAAGTTGATACGTGACATGTGAATGTAATTTTACCAGCTATCATACCCTTCGAAACCGGAACACAATGCTTGCGTTACTGTTTGGCGGCAGAAATAGGTAAGGTGGCAATACTTCCTTGGACGAACTCTTTCACAAGAAGCTCTACTGTTAGACATGGGGAATAGCGTTACATTTCTATCGCCATTGCCGTCGTTCCGGTTCCAAAAAAATCACGGTGATAAATCACCTTGATTTTGTCACGACTGTTACTTCCGTGACCTTGTCACGCCTATAATTTACATCACGATATACGGTTTCAGCCAGCGGCTTCTTTCTAATACTTATAGCCGTTTTTTATAGAATGATTTAAGTTTTTACTCCCTATGTAATAAGTTTCAAATCCCTTCAAAAAGTTGATTTTGTATTTAATGTAATTTTGTTTGTTACTTATTTTATGCGAATCTTTGGATTGTTAAAAATAGCAATAAAGTGTAATGTAATTATATTTCTAGTAGAATACATAAAGTAGATTATACATAAATATAAAATACCAACTCTTCCTATAATAAAACAAATATACAAAAATATTTTACTTTGTTAATAAATAGGCTTATAGTTTCATCCGCCCTTTCTAGTAGTAATAAGCACCTACGACCCTTGTGAGTGAGCAAAGAAAGTCATCCTATCTCACTCACTCCCACCGCCAAAATGGCCCGATTTGAAGAGAACTACAACGAGTGGCGCGCTCAGTCACCACGGAACGGAGATCGCGCATTGTATCAAATACGTATGTCGTGATGTGAGTGACGGGGATAGCTATTAGAACGGAGGAACACCTATGTAACTTTCAAACGTCGTTACTTTCGTTTTCGTCGTTACTTTTGGAACGAGTCACGGTGATACTGTTTGACGGCGGATCACCGTGATTTTTTCATCGTGACGTTATTTATCACCCACCTCTATCTACTGTTGCTATAAGTTTACGAATAAAACGGTTATATTGTTTTTTTTATCCAACATTATGTAACATATGCAATTGTTGTTATTATTTACAGACGGCGAGCCAATCAAGCTCCCAGAGAACTTGGAGAGTCTGCCTCGTGCCGAGCATTTCGCCGCCCAGCGACATCGATGGAACACCAACGAGGTAAGTAAATATTTCTACTAACGATGGTCACACACCACCATGCTAGTATCTTAATTAAAAAAACTGAAACAAAGAAGCAGTGATCTCAAAACTTTTCTTCAGGCAAAAAACGTATTTTTTCCTCAAACGTGCTCGGAAATGCATTACTTTCAAATAACGAACACGGACAGTTTGTCATTTATGGATCGCGCGACTGCTTCCCGGTCAAGGCCTGCAAAGTAAGTATAAAAATCAATTACTGTACACTTCTCCAAACTTTTAAATCTACCTACGTCATGCCTTTTTTTTAATGTTGCCATAACAATATACATATAATAAAAAAATAAATTTTAATCTATATTGTTTCTGGTTTATGTGGATAATTAAATAGACAATTGACAGAAATGAGAAAATCTAAATTAAAATTTGCATCTGACGATCATCATAATTCAAACTTTTATACAGACAATCTTTGCTTCAAATATCGAATACACTATAATAAAAATCTCGACTTTACCTCATCTCTATGACAAACGTCAAATGTACTGTCGCAGGGATCTTCTTAGAATGTCTTTAGTATATTGAACTATGTAAACGTGTAAAAGAAAAACTCATACAGCCAACTGCGAAGTGTTCGTAATTGCATCGTAATTTCATCGTATTTTTTTTTAAAAGGCGGCAAAATTACCTAACGTTCGCTGGTATTCTTTGCTGTTTATCTACCGTTTTTCTATGTTCGTCGCGAAATTAAGTTCTAGTGAGAAGGTCGATAACGAAAATGCTTACAAATACTATGTCAAATATTAACTTTTAATTTTAATTAACATTTTTTTACTTACATCTTCTTCTCTTTAGTCTTCTATTATTTCCTCACATTGTTTGAGAAAATCACTTCATTGCTACACTTTGGTGGAAACGGGGATTGCTTGACTCGTATTAATACAAGTTGTAACTCATACTTGTCCAGCAATCCCTTACTTCCCGGCCTCTGCGGCAATAATGTCCCGTTAATTTTAGCAATTTAACTGAATTGAAAAGTAATTGATTAATCGAATCAGAAATAAACTAATTCCTTTTCTCTTACATTTTAACTACACTGTATTTAGTGAAATAAGATTACTTAATACAATAAACTATCTACTCCGTTTTAAAAGAACATTGGCGTACATCCAAATCCTTTTATATTTTGCCTTTAGATTTTCTTTTTTCAAACGAGTTTAACACATTTATTTGAACTGGTTTCTAAACTTTTTCCTTTTACAAGAAAACTATAAGTTGTTTAATTATTGTTTTTATCTAGTACGGAAACCTTTTTCTTAATAATTTACGTTACATTTAAGCCACACGTTTGTCAAGTGTTGTGAATCGTCTTCGACATTCAGGTTCCATCACTTTTTTTGGTAGTGTTTTTTGCATTGAGAAAAAGGCAAATCGCTAGTGCGCCATACAGCAAAGACTGAGGGTCGTATTCTAGAACTCTACTCAATGCTCAAGTTAGGATTGCACTGGAAACACAAGCACTGGAAATACGATCCTAATGGCAGTGACTTGAGTATGATTTTGAGTGCTTTAAACCATACTCAAATCCTGACTTGAGCATTGAGTAGAGTTCTAGAATACGACCCTAAGATTAATTTCTTTCTCGGGTTCCATTACAAATTTAATTTCTTCGATAGTGCTTCTTAAAAAATGAAATAAAATTGGATAACATTCTTTATTTTTCAGGATATCTCGTAAAGACCGCGGGATATAAGTTTTCTTCCACATTTTCTTCAGTAAACGAAATTAGTTGATAAATTATATACTATTAGTTTTTTTATGACACCAAGTGACGGGACGAACAAGTCCTGTGTCGGGTGGCAAGTGACACGCCTGTCCACAGCAGCTGCAGCTTTAAATCACAAACATCTGAGGGGCACTGATACTCCGCCCGTCACCCTGAGACATGCTGAAAAGTCCCATGTGCCTGTAATTTCACCGGCACCCTCGCTCTTTAATACCGAAACGCAGTAATGCTCTCGTTACTGCTTGGCGGCAGGAATAGGTAAAGTAGCAGTACTTCCCTGGACGATACGTATACATTCTCTCTCTCTCCTTCTCCTGTAGGTTTATTGGAGAAAATGTTTAAATTATCTTTGAATTGTGTCTAATTTTGTGAATTAAATAAAAAAAAAACTAATATACTACACAAAGATAAGCCGCTGAGGTACTTTTATTAATAATCTAGTTATTTGAAAATCAATTTGAAAGTTTATGCAAATTAAGCCTAAAACAGAAGCAATATGTCCAGGCAATCTAATATACTTGTAAAGCTGGACAGTGTATCAGTATGCACGGATATGTTTTACCTTAATTTGGGCTTGTTCCTAATTTACATAACTTGTAGCTGTAGTAGGTATGGGGCGACAATAAGTAATTAATAACTGTACTATAACAACACATGTAGGCTTAATTGCTGGGGCAGGGTCTTGTATAAAGAGATTGTTATAACCGAAGTCAACAATTGTGGTTTTTAATCGTTTGAATGACTTTTCGTCACGATATTACTGAATTTAAAGATGTGATACAGCTTCAGTGATGTATAATATAAGGAAACACAAAAACAAACACCTTAACATTTAAAAGAACAATATTTCCGTTTGGTGAATTGCAAATTTTATTTGTCTAGGCATTTCTGTTCACGTTTTTTGTAGTAATATATATTGCATACATACATGAAAGGCATTCATTCAGCATTCTCCAGCGTTTTAATTAATAACACATACAAAATGGCCATGTCTACTTAGCGTTATCTTCACAAACAAATGACTGCAAGATATGTTGCAAACGATATAATTATGAACTATGAAACCCGTCTAGCGTGGAATGCTGTATTTTGCATAACATTTTGCATATGTTTCACATTATTTTATAAATAATTGCATAATAATGATTAGTGACTGCTGTCAGTGGGAATAATGTTATTTTACTGTTGTGAAGTATTTTGTTCTGCGAAGATAATGTATCTTTTAAACGATAGCAAGGTATTTCATTCGATGTTTCGAGGTAGATTTAGGCTGTTTGGCAGAATTGTAAAGAGGTATTTTTGCGATACATTGACATCAAAGCATAATGTCAAGAATTGCAATCTTAATTCACATATACAGTATGTTTATTAGCATATAAATAAGAAAATTATTGTAAATACATAATGTTATTATTACAGTCGTTTCATAATCAAATATTGTTTAGATAAAATTAAAAAGTAAGTTTTGATAAGTTGAAGTTTATTTTGGTTAAAACTACAAAACAATAAATAAAGTAGAAATGTTTAGAGGGCGGGGTATGCGTGCCAACCGTACCCAAGGTTCCACATACATGAGCTCAGTGCGCCATTTTCGATTTGTACGTTATGCTCCATCAATTATCTTACGCAAAACCTCGAAAATCGTGACAAAAATGATAGTCGGACATGTAATATTATCCATGGTGGTGTTTCATATCATGGTTCAGTATTATTTTAAGTAATTTTATTAAATTTTCCATTTTCTGTTTACCGTAACAGATTTTTTGTTATAACCCGACTTTTTTTGCAGAATATTAATCGTTGATCGTCTCAAAGTCTTTCAAGTGTTGGCGCTAATAATAATAATAATAATAATAATAAGCATTTATTTCGGACCTGAATCCATATATAATTAGTAACAGACTTATAAACTATGTTAGTAATTTACATTGTTTACTTTATTACATGACATTTACTTACACATTTACATTTACTTTTATTTTACAGCCCACTTAGAGGGCGCTACATGCAACGAGTTGAGACGTTCATTGAATGGACCATCAACTCTATTTGCTACTGTAGTAAGGAGGCTGTTGGTGCTGGTGCGCACCCGCTGCATTAGGGAGGCTTGTCGCTTTCTTAAATTGGATTGGAAGCTATCCGTAAAGGCTTCTGCGAACATTGCTGACGCGCTGCAGTAGCGCGGCAGCCCCAACAGCATAAATGCCGTCCACAGATTGCAGGCATAAAATGATTGGCAGTAGGTTTTAAATAAGGTGACTTTCACTTCTACTGTACACCTTGCAAATCTACGGATCAACATATTTCTAACAGCCAGCGCCCTACGTTCCCTCTCTAAGTCCATATCATCTTTAAGCGACTCGGTAACCCAGTGGTAATGCTAAATGGCAGCATATGGAATTTCAATATAAAATCAAAACGTCAATATAAAATTGCAATAATTGGTATTAATTTTTCAATGATATGCCAACACGATAAAGTTTAAATTTTATTAACAGTCCAGAATTTGTTACATCGATTTTAAATTAGACAGTACGACCAATCATTGTCAAGATTTCGTAGTGTGAGTGTGAGTTTTGGCGAACAACGGTTCTTAATAGTAATCAAAGCTCAAGGCACTTCCATTGTTATTTTCGTTAAAACACAAACGTTGGAGACATAATTTAATAATAGCATAGTATAAATATTAAGACAAGTTGTCAAACTCCCATCTGTTCGGCGCGACAACGCCTATATATCTGGGAAGTATAAAAGTACGTATAAAAGGTTGACGATGACTATGAATAATATATTTTTTAGCTTTTTTATTTTCTTTAGTCCAGCACAGATGAGATCATATTATAAAATTGGTCGTACTATATAGTTCGATTTTTAGAATTAGAATAAACGTAAACAAAGTAATAGCGGTCGTAAACCTTTTTCTTTACACTACTATCTTTGTGCCATTTATAAATGACACAATAACATTATCATTAGGTCAACCTGTATGGTAGAGTCGCTTGTGCACCGGTTTTCATGGTGTCGCCATCCCTGAGATCCCGTTCGATCCCCGGCCGGAGCAGTGTAGAAAAACTACTTTTCTATATTATCTCGGGCCTCGGTGTTTGTGGCAATATTTATTTAAATTCATAAAAAGTTTGCATTAAAATGTTCATGACCTCTTTCTTCAAGTTTTTTATAGTGCAAGTCTTTGAAATAGGTTAAAATATAAAAATTGAATAGAATGTAAAGATAA